TGTGATGGTAATGTTACAAATTTTAAGAGAAGCACTTAGGAGCCTTTTAGACAGATCAGAGAAGTTAACCTGTTAAGAAGAAAATGTAATTTCATGTTTCGACACTATTTCATGCAAAAATTTATATTCAGTCTTCATTTCTATGGTAACAGTGGTGTCAGGCATTGTGCGCATGTCCACACTTTTTTTTTGTGCAGTTCATGACGTCCTGGTCATGGTTCAAAATACTAGGCAGTACCTTTGACACATGGGGATTTCTTGTAGGCTCCTTTTGCTTTTATTATTGATATTAGTTACCTTCTGAAGTTCTAGAAATGAATCTTCCTATGTACAGGTATTATCTTCATCTGGCATGGACCTAGACCAGCATGTTTGTCCTAGCCACAAGAAAAATTGTTTTATGGCTGTCCTTACTTTCTCAGGACACTTCAGTTGTTTTACATTTCTACTATTAAATATATCTTATTATTGCCCAATATCTTGCATTTCTTTTGTAATCGGTGAATATTCAGCAACTTTTTGAATTGTATGTGTGCTTTGAATATGTGATTCAATAAGCATACAACTTTTTAATCCATTGAAGAGGCTGGAATGTCATTTCTTTCCAAAACTTTAGTTTCTCTTTAGCTTCACTTAAAATCTGTTTCACAATGTTGCATATACATACATATATATATTCCCAATTATCTGTGCTAATGAAGTGGGATGTATGCGTGAATAATTGAAAAACAGGTATGATCAAAGATTTTGAATATAGAAATTCAGAAGTTTACTGTATCTGATTTGTTTACTCATCTCTGAAATCCATAAAGCTTCTAAAGATGTGTATTGAATATAAATCCTTTGAAGTTCTCATTACAGTTTTTGTTCAAAATATTTTTCATTCAAATATTTAATGACTTAGGCTAAAGATTTGCATAGAAATGCAAATAGGCCTCTTCATGTAAAGTGACTGTTGAAGTTAAATTGAAACGTTTCAGCAGTGTCCCTTAACATAGCTGGCACACTGAAGGGTTCTGAACATGTCTGAAGAGGATCACCGCTAAGCCACAAACTGGATAATATGCACACAGATAATTGGGAGTATGTTGTGTATTCACACTTACACAGATGCTGTCCACTCTGTCATTTCATCCTACCCGCTATGTCAGTCCTCAGAAGGACTTCTGTCTGGAAATGGTCATGTGTTTTCTTAGTTTATAAATTGTCATGTTGTAATCAATAGCTGTAATAATTTCTGTAGTTTTGCTTTCCCTTTATCACAGGCCATCATCGTATGTGAACATATGGGTGAAATGCCAGGAAAGTCCTTTTTTCATCGCCTCATATTCTTACAAGTTCAGAGTTTATAAATTATAAATGTCTGGTGGTTACAAACATTTTTGATTTAGAGTACATCTTCTGGGATGTAGCACTGTGTAGGCCAGTATAATTTCATCACTGTTTTAGAGGAATGGATTCTGTTCTGTGTTGGTCACGGTAGCCGAGCTGTCTGAGGCATGCACTGTCTTCGCTTGCTCAGAAGCCAGGACTGTGGGTTCGAATCCCACACAAGGCATGGATGTTTGGTATGTATATGTGTTTATTTTGTGTTTATGTTGTCTGTGTTTAGGTAGACACCTTGTGACAAGCTGATTACTTGTCCGAGGAGTCCTACTGTCTGTGAAATGATCATGAAACTGAAAAAAATCAGAAGCCAGAACCCAAGGCGGCTGCAGAGCAAGTGGAAAAAAAAACCTTTAGTTTAGAAGATGAAGCTGAAGCTGATATGTTCTCTGAAATATATGTTAGCTTTTACCAGACTGCATGGTGTTACATCCTGGAAGATAGAACTCCTTGTAATTGCTGTGAGACTCTCAAAATCCAGCATTTTTTATTTTGTTCCAGTTTAATAGATTCCCGTCCTCTCCAATGTACCGTGATTACAGACTGAGCTTTGACATGAATGTTTGGTATGCATCTTGTACTCTGTACATTTCAGAGTTTTAAGGTCCATTAATATTATAGGCATGGTACTCCTGGGTAAGGTGATGATCGCCTTTGAAGCAAATGTCAGACTTCTGTGACGGTTCAAGCTGAGTGACTGCTGTCAGCAGGTGTACACAGATCCCCTGGTGGGTGCTGCCACCTCAGAAGTGGGAGCATTAAGAAAAAATATATCCACATAATTGGAACTGGTTAATGCATTATGTGTGAATGAATAATGCTTTGGCGTTTGCAGGCCCAGCAAGCAGTTGGGCTAATGAAATAAATCCACATAATAATTAAAGTGTCATGCCTTTCACAAAGTTTTCTTTTTTTATTTTTTATACTCTAGACAATATCTTGCATAAGTTTTTAGTAGGAGTTTACAGAGCTGAAAGTCTTGGTAATTTGAGTTGTTTGGACCACCTTTTTTCAAAGAATTAATAGAAGTGTTACAGCATTCTGTTCATCGGGATTTATACACTTTGCAGAAAAAATTCCTTAAATTTACTAATCTTGTCAACATATAAAGGGGATGTCACACTAATAACTCACTACTTGACTCAGCTCTGTGTACTGTGAGCTGCTTACAGCATCACTGTATAAAAATAAATAGCAGGCTGTTTATCTTTCTGATTCACGTGTAATTTTATTTTTATTCAAATTTTATTTTCATAATAATTATTGAAGTGATGTCTGCTTTACATAATCATGAGCCAAAGCAAGTACCTCTTGTTTTTTATGGTCTCTTCTTCACAAAGCTATTAGTAGGCAGTGCATGTCTGTCTCTCTGTCTGTCTTTCCATCTGCTGTTCACATTTCAGGTACTGATGTAGAAACAAATTGTTGGAATTCAAATTTTAATCCACATTGATCCGTAACAAAGCCTGGTTTACATAAGGTCTTGAATGTATTTTCCAATGTATCCCAGAAACTGCTTCATACATTTTTGTTGCAATTTCATTTCATTATTCCCTTTTTGAGTAAACTTAATAAACTTCACAGACCACCATTCTTAATTTTTTGTGTTAAATGTTACAGAATGCCCCCTATTTTGTCTCGTTTAAGACTTGGTATGAATGGCAGTGTTGTAGGACAGCATATCGTGGTCCTTTCCAACCTCCTGTCATCACTGTTATGAGCATGCCTGTCATGTGAACTTCTGAGGTGGGAACAAAGCTCAGTTCAGAGTAGGCATTTGAAATCTTATGTTAAGTTGCACTGGGTACTTGATAGCAGCATCAGCTTTTTTTTTTTGTGTGTGTGTCATAGAAAGGATTCCCACTTTCGTGACCAGAGAATAAGAATTCAGAGATAAGGCAAATGTAACACTGGCCGGAAAATATATAAGCTTGAACAGAGCATAATGTTTCTGAGGTTCTCACAGTGATTACTGGTCTCAGGGATGTGATGCTGTGTAATTTGCATCTTGACCAGTGTTTTGGAGGAACATGACTCTTCTGTGCTGATGATGGCGGAAACAGGTTTCTCGCAAACATGAGTACCTATTTGCTAGACTGTAACCTTCAAAATTATATTTCATTCCTCTCTGCCACAGGACGGGAAATAGTTTGTCCAGTTCCCCCTGTATTAATTGTGTTTTGGCATATTTAAAATACAAGAGATTGAAACGAGTATGGTGGGACACATCTTTATATTCACTGCTGTGGGATGCTTACTTCTCTCAATATGTGAGGTCTGCTTGGTGAGACACGAAAGTGCATTACTTTGGTCTGCAGTTGTGTTTGTACACTTTTATCTTTTTTTAAGACCTTCCCAGTTCTTATAATAATTTATTTGTAATTCAGTTTTACTTACAGATCTGCATAATTTTACTCTCTCCTCTTCATTCCACACTTGTAATTCCCCGTCTGTTTATCTCGTGCACCTTTCATATTATTATGAGCCAGGATAGCGCAGGATACTGATTGGCTACGGGCTGTATGACCAAGGGTTCTGAGTTCAAGACCCAGAAGGTCCAAAAATTTTCACTCTCCATATAGTCCAAACCGGCTCTGGGGCCCATCCAGCTTCCTATCCAATGGGTACGGGGGCTAAAGTGGCTGGGTCTTTAAGCTGACCACTCACCAACTAGTGCCAAGGTCAAAAGACATGGTTCTATACATCCACTCCCTCATACGCCTATATGGCGTAATGCTTAATTAGTTAAGCACATGACAGCTTTTCCTTTTTACCTTACCTTTCATGTTAGTAAGTTTTTGGCCACTTCAATGGCATTCTAATTGGCCTGGTACAAAAACTACTAATACCAAAGCATAGAATTGCACATGATCTAAACCAGTTCCACTCGCCTCTCGGCTGCACAGCATACTTCCCTAACATCTGTCTTAATGTTATCCTCCCATCTCTTCTTCAGTCTTCCAAATGGTTGTTCTCCAAGCAGTTTCCTCACAAATAATTTTTCTATATACATTATTTGGCTCACCCATCCTAGCTACCTGCCCAGCCTATCGTAGATACCACTATCCAGGCAGTTCTGAGTACTATCAGGAAATTTTCTATCTTCCTTTATCTCACTTGTGATTGCTAAATGTAAACTCATTGACAGATGAATAAGTGGAGAGATTTTATGATTATTTTAGATTTCTGGCATCAGTATGGTTTACATCATAGATATAAATGGTAGTTCATGTATTTCAATAAGTGGGAAGCAAGTGCAGATCATTCGGGGTGCCTGGTGCCAAGTTGTGGTGAGGAAACCTGTCCTGCATTACAGTCTGTTTCTGTATTTCTCACTGTTACCGAAATCATCAGCACTAAGTTATAAAACAGTTGGCACCACATTGTTAAATAAAACAAATGATTTTGTTACTGTATTACTGAGAAACATACTATTGTGCTTTCATTCTATATAATGCTAATTTTATTACTCAAACTTTTATCAGGATTAGGATCCATGGCAGCTCTGTTTTCAGGGTGCCTCTGTTTGTTTTTCTTTGTATCTCTCTACAGTCTAAACATAAACATCCTTATACCAATTTTCTGATTTGTGTGTAAATATTCATGTGTTACAGATATTTCAGCCCCCTGGTGACATCCTTACCGTGAGCCTACCATGAATTGACTTGAACCTGAGTGTGACCTGACTGATTTATATATATTTTTTCGTTCTTTCTTTAAAGGTATATGAATGTAAATTGAGGTTTCTTTCAATGAAAGTGTTGAGTGAGTTTCAGAAAATCACACTCGTTAAGTTGTATTTCAGTATTGCTAAATTCCACACTGCCTTGTGTAGGTTCTCACAAGCCTATACAGCACCCAGAACAAATTAATATTAATCAAGGAGACTAATGTATATGTAGTGTAGGAAAGATCCACAGAAACACTGAGTGGTATTTTCTTTGCTTCTTGATGTGATTAGTTATTGCCTGTTTAGTATGTATTGTCTTCCATCTACAAACAACTAAAAAAAAAACTCCATGATTTTAGTCCGCAAGCAAACTATGCTGACCAAGCAGCCGCCGCTTGTCGGCGAAGTTTAGTGCCAACTTTTGCGGATAGAGGGTGTCACGTGGTCAGTGCAACAAATCCACATGGCCGTTGATTTTGGTTTTCTAGACTGGAGCAGCTGTTTCCTTGAAATAGCTCCTCATTTATCATCACAAGGCTGAGTGGACCCCATTCCAGACACACTACTTCTCTGAAAAAATCTGGTAGCGCCAGGAATCGACCCCAGACCTCTGGATTTGTAGCCAGGAACGCTGACCACTAAAGAAATAAATACATAATCCATTGGGTTCATGAGCAGTGCCTCGAAAACAAGGCCATGATTATTTGCATATATAAAAAAAATATAATGAACTTATCGAAATCACTATCATGTCCCTGTATGTAGTTTCTGCAAAATATATTCACTGTTTCAGAATATTAGGTTTCCATAACTAAATAAAACAAAAATGAAAATATCAACACACTAATGTGTACTAATTGTAATGTGGCAGATATCAAGACAGCAAACAACTTCAAGCATTTCTGGTATTGTAGTTAACAGTAGCTACCATAGGTAACATTCAAAACTGTCTTTATTTCCCGGGGCTTCATATACCACTTTTCATGTAAAGTTGTCCCTGTGCTTAACCAATTAAGCACTATGCCATGAAGGCATGTGGGAGTGGCTGTGTAGATCTACATTTCTTGACCTCGACACTAGTTGGTGACCACTTTTTATCCCCCCCCCCATAAAACAGTCAAGAGACATTAAATCTGGTGACCTACAAAATAGGGCTGCCTCTCCCCATCCACTAGGAATGGAAGAGGCAACCTACAGACTTTTCATTTAGAGCATATCAAACAGAGTTATTAAAAGGGAGCGATGCAGCATCTTTTGGAGAAGTTAAAATTTATCTTGTTCTATGAAGAATGACATCTTGTGGGATGTGGCGCCATGTAGATCTTGTGTGAACCGACGTTTTGGAGGAACGTCAGTTCACACAAGATCTAAATGGTGCCACATTCCAGAAGATGGCATTCTTCATAGTCACCGCCGTGAAAACTTGAAATCTTACAATCTCATTCTAGTTGTGAAATAAATGAAGTTCTCAAACATCCATGGAAATGGTCCGCAATATGTTTCCCTCAGGAAATGGAAATGGCTCTCTGGGCCGAAACAGAATATCATATTGATATCTGCCTTATTACAGGAGGTACAAGTGTGAAACGTTAATAATGGAACGTCTGATTTTATGCTTTCATTTGGTTATATATTATGGTCATGAAAATCTAGAAATATCAGACATGTATGATAATGGAAAGAGTCATCCTTGTGAGGCACTTAACATTGAACTGTGCTGTCTCAGTTTCTGCACAGAAACTTTAGTTGAGGTTCTTTGTAAATTCACATTTAGCTTCTGTTAGTGAAACCATAGCACTGCTTCTTGCCATAAAGTGAAGAGGATGATTTCCTCATAGCAAAGGATCTGTTTGTGTATAGTATTTAATAACAATACAACATACAAAGGTTTCATTTTCAATGTGAGGGAATACCTTGTTGGTTAGTAAATTGTAAATCAATGGAAGTGATCCAGTTTTAATATACCTGCTTTCTTTCCATGCTGTCTTGATATTTGGGCAGATATTCTGGTTTGAAAGAAGTTCAGTGTATATGCATGTTTTAAGACATTCTGTGAGTATGAGAAAATATCAGTTGACAATGTACAAATCTCATCTATAGGATTTATATCTTAGAGGATAAAAGTAATGTTTCACTTATGCCAGATGTTTCTAAGTGCTTACTCGATGCATTTGGCTTTACCATTACAGGTGTATATATACAAGATTACTATCAGTAAATTGGTTAATGTGTGTTCGTTTTATCTGTGTGGCATTATTTACACTGCTTCGTGCTGTTTTGACGTATGGACCACCATCACTTTAAAATACCATGATTCAGTAAGTAATCATGAACTTCTAATGGAACTGTGGGAATAGCCATAGAAACGAATTGTTAACTTTTCCATTGTTGATATTCACTGCAGCAACATTTGAGTTCAATATGGCTTGTGCCCTGGATTTTATTTTATTCTTATTTTAAACAAATTTCCTTTCCCTCATGTGCAGACTTCCAGCAGAAGGGCGTGTTCCTGTATTCACATTTCTTATTTTACATTCATGATTCACCAGTGAAGGAAACTTAACATGAATCTTTAGGCATGACATTGAAAGCTTGAGGCAAAAGAAAAAAGGGTAAAGCTAGCCCTGTAACAGGCCGTGGAGCCCTGTACAGTTGTGACATCGAGGCTCCCACATTTTCTAGACAATCAGCTCACAGATGGTGGTGAGGTTGTCAGCCTTACACGCTGGATGCCCTTTACCCCCCAGGAAGATTCCTGGTACTGATTTCTGTTACAGGCTGTCAACCCCAGGGTCTCAGCGCTGCTGGAAGGGTTAGGTCAATTGAAAAATCCAGTGACTTCATGAAGAATCGAACCCACGACCTTCTGGCTTGTAGCATAGTGCCTCAACCAACTATTCTACCATGTGCCTCCATTGAAAGCTCCAGGATATGTATATCTGTATATAGGATTTAACTCCTTCTTCTGTTACATTGGGGGCATGTGGTAGTGTAGTTGGTTGAGGCACTATGCTACAAGGTAGAAGGTCGCAGGTTCGAGACCCGATTAGGTGGATTTTTTTTCAATTTTCCTAATCCTTCCAGCTGCACTATGGCATTGGGGTCAACTCAGCCTCTAACAGAAATGAGTATCAGCAATCTTCCTTGGCAGTAAGGGGTAACTGTTGCATAAGGCTGACAACCTCACCACCATCTGTGAGCCTCCATGGCCTGTTACAGGGATAGCTTTACCATTTGACCTCTTTAACTGTTATATTTAAAAAACTAGTGCAGGATGCTATCACTATCTTATTTTCCAGGCATTTTAAGTGCCAAGTTAGTGCTATATGAAGCATGCATTTTGCTTTACAAAAATCAAGATCTTAAAAATTTTAAATTATTTCTTTATGAAATTCTGTATAGCCTTATCGCCTACATGGTTCACTTTTCAGGCTTGTGTTGTTCCAAACCAGTAATTGCTTTGTGTGCTCGCAGGTCACAGATGGTGGTTGTAACCTTTTTCATATCCATAGCTACAACTGATCTAACTTTACTTACTTACAGAACGTTTTTATGATGATTCTTTTGTAGCATATTCCCTCCCTCAAGAGTTATCACATTCCTTGCAGTGATGCCTACAGTGTCTCCTTGGAAGCAAGTGACTTATCTAGTGCACCATGTGCCTGATGCTCTCCCACTCTGAATCAGGTCTGTCTCTGTCTGTAGGAAGCACTGGTTTGGTTGACAGCCTATTAATAAAACTCATATATGATTTGAAGCTTCCATGGTGATGATATCCTATTAAGTTTTCTTGGGTGATCAGCCATATCAGCAGAGTTATTATCCACTGTTTCAGAGACTTTCTCCCTCTCCATCATGAGGGGTTGATGTGATGGCTGCTGTGGTCACACATACTGCAGATTGTGTTCCCGGCTGTCCCAGTGGTACATGCTGAGACAGCCGAGATGCAACACCGAAACACTGAATAATAATGTCATGCTAAATGAACTGATTGCCTGAGAAGGGCTTATTATATATTGAAACTCGTCCTCAAGGAAAAGTGGAAAGTATTCTTTTTTCACTGATGTTAGGTGAAAGGTCATGAGGAAGTACCAGAGTGCAGAAATATATGAAGTTCACTGTAGACTGCATCAGTGAAAGTTCCTTTTATGTGCAGATTCTGGTAAGGCCATATCAGTTTCATTGTCATTACATTCTGAACTTTAATTCCTGTCACATCAGCCCTTCACATACCTTGAAGGATCATATTCATAACCAAATTCTTCCTCTGATATATCAGTTGCTTTTTGAACACGTGTGTACATGAGAGGAAACCAAACGCCTTATCAGGGTTTTGATTTTATAATTCAAGACATGCATGGACATGATGAAATGCATTTAGTTCCACAGTTGTACCGACACGAAATGTATTAATTTTTATGGTTGAATTTACTATGTCATACTGACTAAAAGGGGGCAGTGTCCTCTGATTTTACCATGTCCATCATATTAGAAGGAACGAAGGCTTAAATGTAAGGACCATACAAACTACATGTCAGTTTACAAGTATAGATCTTCTAGTTCCCAAGGTGAAAATTTCATTTGTAGTGTAGTTCGAAGATGCTGATTGATAGAACTGCTAGTTGTATACTCAAACAATTCATTTCAGAGGGCTGTAGTTAAGAGCTCCTGATAAAACGAACACAGTGCTGATGTACATAAATGATTATAGCAGATAATAAGTCATTCTTCTTTCTTGTGATTTTACTTTCAATCATTGGTTTTCTGTAGCAATATATAGTGACTTACATTTTCTTTTTCTGCAGTATTACAAGTGCAGTGGGAGCAGATAGAACCTTTTTATGTTCTTCCAAATGAAAAGAGCATTTATATGTAAGTGTGAAATGTTATGAGTGTAATTTGTTACTTATAGGTAAGGATGTACTTGAAAAAGTGATACATGTTGGCTTCTAGCGATCCCTTCATTGAGTGCAAATGCAAACTACGGCGTGAATATGAAATAAAAATATAGTGTAATGGTGCGATTGCATTCTCTTTTCAAGGGCCATTCTGTGCAGTTTTTTTTTTTTTACTTTTGAGCTTTTTTAGTAGCATTTACATACTGTACCCATTCATTCGAATAGAATAATGAGACATTTTTTATACAGATTTTGTTTAATTATTACTGTAGATAACTTAAAGTTGCATATTATATTTATTTTCATATTGTCTATGATCTTCTTTGCCAGCATTGTAGTTATGCTGAAGAACTCAGTGTTGATTGTTGTGACACCGATTGTAAGACCGTCATGTAATGTGTCATTTGATGTAAATAAATTAGTGTAATTGTAAAGTTTTAAACTGATGAGTTAGTGGAGAGATTCTGTAGCTGGATACCTTAAATGTCTTTTCACTTACATCTAGAGCACTTATTTCCTGCTGGAATTTTTTCTATGTTGATACTGTTTATTACGATCTGAATACGTAGTCTAATATCACTGTACAGATTGCAAGTTGACATTATTGGTATAGCTATGAATCCTGTCCACCTTCAAGTCCTTGTGAAGTTATTTATTTTCAGTATTAGAAACGTGGGAGAACTTTCTGGGATGTGAGAAGGTATAAGAAGTTAGTTGAATAACTCTTATGGATACTCTTCACAGGCCAATGCATTGTATTACTGCGACAGCTCACATGTGGTCCAGCTAGCCAATTATTGCATTTTTTTTCAGTGCTTGTGGTTAAGATGCATACGATGGTGATGTTCATGATGTAGTCATCACTGGAACATCTCCAGACAAAAATTCAGTCGCCACACTGTGTATTCTGCACTGACACCATTTCCATGCCTATAGTATCTGAGTGACCTGTAGTGGCTGGACTATGAAATTTCATATAGAAGTGAAAGAAAGTCTATTTAACGAGTGCAAATTAATTTACACCACTGCATGGATTTGTTGTCTTAGAAAAAAATAGAGACATTATTTCAGCATGCTGTCATCACTCACTCACTGCTGGACCGGACCCCTTCTTGAGAATCCCCCAGTTGTACAGCTACTCAAGAACTTCCCAGCAATTTATGGAACCTGAAGGTTCAGTATCATGTTCACAAGAGCCCTCCACTGGTCCCTATCCTGAGCCAGATCAAGCCAATCCATATTATCTCTCTAATTATCCATTTTAATATTGTGCACCCACCTATTCCTTAGCCTTCCCAGTGGTCTCTTTCCATCTGGCTTTCCCACCGTTATCCTATATGCATTCCTCTTTGCCCCCATTTGTGCTACATGCCCTGCCAACCCCATCCTTCTTAACTTGATCATTCTAATTATACCTGGAGAAGCATATAAGTTATGAAGCTCCTCATTATGCAGTTTTCTCCAACATTTCATGTCTCTTCAGACCAAATATTCCCCTCAGTACCCTGTTCTCAAACACCCTCTGTGTATGTTCCTCACTTAATGTCAGAGACCAAGTTTCACACCCATACAGAACCACAGGCAAAATTATAGTCTTGTATATTCTAATTTTTATGTTTTTGGATAGAAGATGAGAAGACAAAAGGTTAAATGTCTATGTATTAAGTCCGTCAATAATGCAACAATCATTAAAATATTCACCATTTAACACTAACACAGCATGTTTTGGCCACAAACGGCCATCCTCAGGTGTTTCAGTGCATTCAAACTAGGGCACAGTTTCTTTCAGCAGCTTCTTTTCCTGTTTCACCATACGCTACTAGAGGAGACAACACAGAAGCAAGGGGCATATTGCAGACAGGCTAATGAAACAGAAAAACAGACTGTCTGGAATATCACATAGCTTTAAACAAGAGGATGATGCCCCTAACGAGGTGGAATATGATTTTACAAAAGATTTTAATAGAAAAATGTTAATGAATTTTAAGTAATTATTTATGTTATTTTAAGTGGACTGCAACACGCAATTTTAGCACGCATCAAAGCAGTGTAACAGTTTGGACGCATTGAAACACCTGAGGATGGCCGTCTGGCTGAATCATGTTGTGTTAGTGTTAAATGGTGAACATTTTAATGATTGTTGCATCACTGATGGACTTGATACACGGACGTTTAATTAAAGACGTGCATCAGGATGCTGAAATACAGAAAGACAAAAGGTCCTAAACTGAATGGCATTACCTGAGTTCATTCTCCTCTTAACTCTTTGACTGGCACAAAGGGTATTTAAATCCCACCCCTGTCCTGACAGGCCCTTTAAACCTTATGTCGCTAAAATGCATGTAGTTACTTTTTCCTAAACAACTTCAACAAAAATTGGTTTTTAAAAACGAAATTTTTGGGAACTAATTAAAATACAATATTTTATGCAATAAATGCTTTTCCACACCTCTTTATTTGTTTTTCTTCGTGTGATAAACATTGAAACATGAAAGTTTGCAGAGAGCCACACCACAGCCTGCACACATGATACTTGTTTCTTTTCTAACCTTGTGCTTAGCACTCACGCGACACTTTCTCAGGGCACCATTCTTCTTATTGTTACTGTTAGGAATATGGACCATTTTGTGAATTTTCAAGCCACCCTCTAGACGATTTGCTGGCTCTTTCACTGGTGGTCTTTTCAAGGTCGAGGGCGGAGGCGTGACTGCACTCTAGTCTGACCCAATAGATTCGTCATCCACTTCATTCCTTGACTTTTCTCCCTCTCCACACTGTTTGTTTGGTTCAGTCATTTTTCTACACAGTCCAATATAAAATCTTTGAATCTGTAATTTCTCTTCTTGTATTTTTCGTTTGTTGTGTTCTTTTTGAATAGAATGAAACTATTCAACCGCAAAGACATGTTTTGTCCAAACCATGGGTGTGAAATAGGGGCCTAGTGGACAAATATTCTTCAATTTCAGGGCGTTTGTCGATTCCTGTCATGAACACAATTCCTAAGTATGTCCAGATTTCATCTGATGTGACATAATTGTAATTGTGTTTTCGAGAGTGAGGAGCTAACTCATGTGTGTTGAAGTGCTGGTGAGCATAGCGATTGGTTTCAGTTGTGATGTGATTTACCAAGTCGTCATCCAGAAAAAATTTTAATCCATGAAAAGGGATGCATTTTATGTGTTATATCAATTTTGATCCCGAAACTATTAGCAAATGGAAATATTGGGGGTACAATGTCTCCGTACGTTCATGAGATGGGCGTGTCAGGCACTGCACTCGTGGTAGGTAGATGTTCATGATTACTGTCTTGTGGATCATTGTCTATCACTGTATTATTGTCACTATCTACTTCATCCAGTTCAGGAATAATTATTTCATCGCCACTATCATCATCAGAAAAAATCTCGTTCACAACATTTTCCAGCTGGTCTGTACGAACACGAAGACACTTGCTGCAAGAAGCTATGGTGAAACTGAATGAATGTGAAATATTTTCTGACCTTTACCTTCTCAGAGGGTTCTGACAGTAATATAGACCCCCACAAAGTTTACAAGGGTTCTTTACAAACGTGCACAAAAACAATCATATATATGTCTTTGGTTGATGAGTGCCAAGAGAGCAAAGAAGGGACGAGATTGTCAAAGCGTTAAAACACGCCAACGCCAGGGAACGGCTGGCATCGTCCGGGCGTTAAAACACGCCCGCGCCAGTCAAAGAGTTAATTTCCTCCTGAATCAGGTTTTCATTTGCCAAATATCTGAACTGGCGCCACATTTTCAAAACACCTGTTACCTGTCTTTGTGTCATGATTTTGCCCTGCATTCTGGTGATGAGGCAAGAACATATACGTACTTAGTTTTCTCTGTGTTTACTTCAGCATGCCCTCATACTATGGAATATGTTGAACAAGGCAGATATTAGTAGACAGCTAAGATGAGAACTTTTATATACAGAAAAACAACAGAATATTAGATTAAGCAGTTTGGAAGATAAAAATCCCTGAGCTGAACTATTAGTATGGCTCTACATCCCTTTTTTGGGCCTTGGCCACATTTTAAGTTTCTTGATCTTATACACAGTAGGACTCCTTGGAAGGAGGATCAGCCTGTCGCAAGGCCTCTACCTATATAGGACAACACAAACATACAGTACAGACGTTCATGCTTTAGACTGCATGGCCACTGTGATGAGCTCCAAGAATGAATACAAACCAAAAAAGGAAGTACCCATAAGGAAGAGGTTATGAAAGACATAGATAGAGCCACACGTAAGTGGAAATGTCCAAGAAAGAAGGACAAGATACATTCTCTTACTTTATTTAATCAACAAATAATATAATTGAAATATGAAGTCAAAATGACTTACTCTATGAAATTGCATAACATTTACATATTACTTTGAACACCAGAACTGTCTGTGGTTTCCAGCTGTTCAGAAGTAGAAAACACCAGTGACTGTGCTGCCCTCTTGCGTCTGATTCTTCTCTTCAAGGCCATTACACCTTTAAATGAAAATGCCCTTTTACTACGGAAACAGTAATGATTAACCAACATGCTCTGTTCTGGAAGAAATATGGCAGAAGTTTTTTATGTGCAAATAGTACATGGTAACAGACATGAATCAATGGGAACTGTCACAGCATACCTGCACGTTTCCCTGCTAAACATAATCACCACCACAGTCAATGCGCCTGTCCCACCATAAAGAGTATATAACAGCTAAAATCTGGCTCGAGCAGTAACACTTCTTGCTCATAATCAGGAAATGTCCAGTTGTAGTCTTGGGGGGAGCAACAACTACCTACCTGTACTCAGAATTACTGGGTTTTTGTTCTTCGTCCGGTATCCTTGAAACTAGAAAACCCAACGTTTCGGAAACGATGTGCTTCCATTCTCAGGTGAGGGGGAAGACACCTACTCTGTTACGTCCCTTAGTCCAATGATCAAGGTTACCTCTTTCTAAAGGACGCAACAAAGTATGTGTTTCCCCCCTCACCTGATGATGGTAACAGATCCATTTAGCAAAACATTGTGTTTTCTTGTTTCCATAGGATACCAGACGATGAACAAAGTCCAAAATCCCAATAATTCTGAGTATCATATACCGTCATCAGAACCCTTTAGAATTTTTCATTACCTATGTTTTCTGTCATTTTCCTTGGTTTCTCTTGGTAAATTCTGCCACAGCACCTCAACTTAGACCAGAACCACTTTCCTCCCCCATTACTTTCAAATCATTACCCACTAATCATCCCATCATTTTATGCCATATAATCTGAGCTACTGTCAGCATCACTAAATGAACCATAAACAAAGAGATGCAGCATTGTAACCGTTTGTGCTTAGACACTATAATGATGTTTCAAAAGCGTCATTTATAGCATTTGCAGTCTCAAGAGTAGCCCATTCTTCCAACCAAATAAAAAGCAATCTGAGTAAGAGTGTTTGTACCTCCCAACATGAGGTCTGTTGGAAATGGTGGACTTGGTGCGGCACAGTGGCATGCGCGTTGCCGGTGAGCACTTCCCCGTGGTGGTGTGGCGGCAGGAGAGCTGTGTTGGACAACACTTCCCTGCTGTGATTAAGAGTGGGGGGGGGGCTGCTAGGCAACAGGCAACAGTATAAGAAACCAGCTGAGGACCGAGCATGCCAGTGTGTGTTGAGAGAAGCCAGTGGAAGCCGCACCGAGAGCAGAGTGTGTGTGTTGTGTTGAGAGAAGACAGTGGAAGCAGAGTGGAGGCAGTGTGTACCGACAGAAGACAGTGTGTGTTGAGAGAAGACAGTGGAAGCAGAGTGGAGGCAGTGTGTGCCGACAGAAGACAGTGTGTGTTGAGAGAAGCCAGTGGAAGCCGCGCAGAGCAGTTCTACAGTCTAGTGAGAGTTAATACAAAATGAACAACTGTTCAACATTTTGTGTTATAGTTACGCTGAATTGTAGTTACAGCGTTGAGTAATAAAGTGATGTCACAAGAATACTCCTCGAGGTCTTGTTTCACGTGAAGGCCTGCAGAATGCTATGCACATCATGATGGCAATAACACAATGAACTGTCCTGGATGAAAATATGTTCTCAGCCATTCTAGTCATTGTAGATGCATGATAGAAGCTGTCATACAGCGCACACCATCGTCAGTGGTTTGAGGTGGCATGCATAAGGCTGACAGATGAAGGACATCACTTCACAACTTCAGCTCCAGATCAAATGAATGCAGCCATGACTTAATCGCTGTCAGAATGTGACCAAGGAATGTATCTCTCTCCCTTCATAAATGTTGGAAAGATGCAGTATAGCACACCTGCAATCCACTGTATCCAAGAACTCGGTAAGAATGTGAAGAACACCTACTGTAGGGTGCATCTGCTGCAGCGTTGCTCCTAGCGTTAGTACATATACCCATTATCAAACAGATTCATACATTGCAGTATGAGTGTCATGGCACTCTTTCAACAACACAAATGGCTGTAATAGCGCAGTCTAAGCAAAACAGGAGCACAGATCCTTCTCCATTGCAACCAGACCAGCTCTGGGACTCATTCAGCCTCCTCTCCAGTGGGGACTGAGGGATCTTCTTACCCAGGCATAAAGTGGTCGGAGCACGAAGATGACCACTCATCTGCATCCCATATATCACTAGACTTGGCAGATGAGTTGAGTTTCGCATTAGTCTTATGCTGTTAACAATACAATTTGCATTCAGTGGAAAACAACAATCCATAATTCTATATTTCCCACCATTGTAGTTCTGTGTTTCTGTACTTCATCCTCACTCCTTTACTACCTTCCAAGCTGAAGTACATGTGATTGGTGCATGCCTCTTCCAAAAATTCCAGTGAGAAATACTACAGTACTGAGATTTATGAATATGTGGAGCTATACTTTCACTCCCCTATACACCTTCATGGCATGGTACTCATTAACCACAGGGATAATTTTCCTTTATACCTTTTACACGTGAAGCTTCATCAGTATCCTCATATATACTTGGAACATGCATCCTTTCTCAGTCCGTGGCTCATGGTATCGCCAGCTGGGACAAAAAAACTGAGGACTACAGGTAGCCTGTTGCACGTAAGATTCCCCGGAAAGACACGGACCTCTGAAGAAAATGTCAATTGCATTAGAGAGGCATTGCAGCGATGTCCACGCAAATCAATTCCATGTTCAATAGTGCACAATATGCTACACAGAAGGCACTATCAAAGAGTGTACAAGATTCAAACGATTCATGCACCAAAACCAAGTGACCAAGTAGCACACACAAACTTCGATGTGGATATGCTAGCAAGAACTGATGCGTCACACGATTTCCTCCACCAAGTGTGCTTCTTAGGGGAGACAACATTCCATGTCAGTGGAGTCGTAAACAGGTACAACTGCAGGATTTGGGGCAGTCAGAATCCACATATCACATGTGAGTTGGAGAGAAGTAGTCCCAAAGTGAACGTGTGGGCCAGCTTAATGCATGACACATTGACTGGATCATTTTTCTTTTTAGAAAAGACTGTGACTGGACATTTATATGTGGACATGCTAGATCTATATCCACTGCCCCAATTACCACCTGAAACTATCCTCCAATAAGATGGAGCATGGCTACATGTTTGCCACCATGTTAAAAATCACGTGAACAGAGAGATGGCTAGGAGATAGATTGATGGAGGTGGGCCAATCACTTTGCCTCCTAGGTCACCAGAGTTAACCCTACTGGATTCTTCCTTGTGTGATTATGCGAAGAACACTGTTTACCAGGTTAAGATCAACAACCTTCCAACACCTGAAAGCCTGCACAAGGGACGCTGTGGCTATGGTAAAACGAAACATGCTTCAAGCAATGTAGAATGAGGTCAAATATCATCTGGATATTTGTCGTGCCACCAAGGGATCTCACACTGAAATTTATTGAGAAAGCTATATACTCAGAAAAGAACTCTGATACTTTCCCTTTGTAATGCTGTAACCCAAAAATGTGTATAATAAATGCTTTCTGAGATATAATTATTTTATTTTACGTACCTTTCAATGGGACACCTTGTATTGGTATGAAACTTGACTGATCAAACATTCAACTGAATTAACTTAAGAAAAAAGTGGTTCTGCTTGATACTATGTCTCTGTGCCCACAGCAGAATTAGACCAAACTGAGAAAAATGCGTGTACTTCCCAATTTAAACATGAATACTTCACTAGACATATATCCAGAGATTCACAGCTTCAAGTTCTGGAACACAGTAACCCAAGTCTGACAACAGGCTTTGTGTTGTGCACCTCAAACACAGAATTAATCGCCATTTTTACATGCACAATGAGGGCTCTTTTGAAGTGCAGTGACCCTCACAATCTTGCCTAAAGATGCTTTCAAAACATGAAACAGAATTTACCACTACCTTACTGTCAGGCCACTATGATGGAAGATGGCTTCATGAGTAAGTACAAGGCCTCATATAATAATTACAGGTAAAAGTAAAAGGTAAAGTTGCCCCTGTGCTTAACTAATTAAGCACTACGCCATGAAGGCACATAGGGGAGTGGGTGTATAGATTCACATTTTCTTGACCTTGGCAGTAGCTGGAGGTGAGTGGTCAGCTGCACGCCCCTGGGACCCATTGGATAGGAGGCTGGGTGGGCCCCAGAGCCAGTCTGGATGATATGGAGAAGAGAAAATTCTTGACCCTACTGGGACTCAAACTCCGACCCCTTGGTCATCCAGCCGGTCACTATACCGACTATGCTAGCCTGAGTCCCATAAAAAATCAGAGATAGGTAAAAGGGGTCAGATTGGGTGACAGGATACATGCGAGACATGTCTGGAAGGATGTAAGGTGGGGGAAATGTTGTTGCTTCACATCACATGGAAAGGACAGTAGGAACAATCTGACTAAACTTGCAAGACTGAGCATGTCATCAGCCATCTTACTGTTAAATGGCATTGGCTTGCGATTCTGAATGCATCTAGAAAAATTCACTATCATGATGAAGTATGCGATTTCAGCCACATCAGCTACAATGTACGTAGGTCATACCGAAAGTCATGAGCAACTTTTTTTTGCATGCAACCTGGGAACAGCAGATGAAAGAGAGTATGGTGGTCGGTGGAACTAGCTGTTGTATTAACCTTGAGTGTTTTGTGACGTGAATAGCCTGCATCATGTGACCAGTAGCACTGCTAACAAAATGGCCGACAACCATATGTCGTTTCGCCAGCGTGCTGTCATCGAATTTCTCGTGAAAGAGGAAATCCCTGCTGCAAAAATTCACCAGAGACTTCAGCGTGCTTATGGAAGTGTGTGCATGGGTGCGAGCAGTGTTCGAAGATGGGTAAAACATTTTAAAGATGGGAACACCAGCATCGAAGATGAGCCTCAGCACAGTCGTCCTCGAAGAGGATCAATTGAATGCAACAAGGAAAGAGTGGATGAGATCATTCAAGATGACAGGTGTGACTGTGGACACAATAGCCCGAAAACTTGGAATAGGGCACAGTGCAGTACAGGAGCTGGGTCCCGCAGTTATTGACCGAAGACCACAGAGGTCAGCGAAAAACCATCACCTCAGAACTGCTGCAGAGATATCGACACGAAGGCAATGATTTTTTGCTCTGTATTGTGACAGGTGACGAAAGCTGGTTTCATCATTTCGAGCCTGAAACGAAACGGCAGAGTATGGAATGGCACCATTTGCATTCTCCATCAAAAAAGAAGGCAAAGACAGTGACATCAGCTGCGAAGGTGATGGGCACAGTCTTCTGGGATGCAGAGGGGTTTATTCTGGCCGAATTCCTGGAACATTGGCAAACCATCAATGCTGCTCGTTATGTCCAGACACTGCACAAGCTCCGTCGTGCATTGCACGATAAACATCCGGGACGAAACATCATCATCCTGCATGACAACGCTCGCACACACTCGCCTCACATTGGAAGCAATTGCAAAGATGGGGTGGGAAGTTCTTCCACACTCCTCCTATAGCCCTGATCTGGCACCCTCTGACTACCATCTTTTTGGATTTGTGAAGGATCAGCTACATGGACAACGTTTTGAGACAAGGGAGGCAATTCAGAAAGCAGTGCGTCAGTGTCTTCGGATAGCTGGAATGGAATTTTACATAAGGGGAATTTTCAAACTCCCAGAACGCTGGGAGAAATGTGTACAAAGAAGTGGCGATTATGTGGAAAAATAAAGACAGGACTGTTGACTGAGGTGGTGTCTTTGGTTTGTCAATAATAAAGCATGTTACTTTACAAAAAATTGTTGCACATGACCTTCAGTACAACCCTCATATATTAATATTACTATTTTTTATTAATTTAGCAATGCTATCAGCAGCTCAGACCATATGGCGCTGAATCGCAGGTTGATTAATGAACGATGAATTGAAAAAGATGTGGAAGGAAGCAGTCACAGCCTATTGCAAGGTATTATCTTGGCATTTGCCAGGAGGAGCTGATGAAAACCATGAAAAACCTCGGGGACAGTTGGTGTTCTAGCAGAGTTTAGAACTGGGCACCTCTCAAATACAAGTCATAGGTGCTGCCACCTCAGACAGCTTGCTCAGCGGTGTGATGTAGAACAAATGACAACTCACATCTGACAGTCTGATACAAGGCCCGAGAGTTCTTGCTACTTTTTGTCTCACTTTCTGGTTGCTCTCCTATTCTGAAGTAATGCCTGTAAAACAATAAGAAAATCCATCTCAGCATGTATGTCTCACTTGTGCCACTAGTCAAACTAATGCTTGTACTTCATAATTCCAATCGTGAATATAATCAAAATGGAAAATACACTTTAACAAATGTCAAACAAACTGCAAGGGCAGGGGAGTTCAGGACATAACCCACATTTCATAATGAAGGTAAGGTAAAGTGGTCCCTATGCTTAACTAATGAATGTGCATAAGGCAATGGATGTATAGATCCACATTTTCTTGAGCTAGGCACTAGTTGGAGGTGAGTGGTCAGCTTCACGCCGCTTTACGCCTGAGGAAAGAGCACTCGGTACCCATTGGATAGGAGGCTGGGTGGGTCTGGACAGTGCAGAAAATTGAAAATTCTTGACCTTACTGGGGGATTCGAACTCCAACCCCTTGTCCATCCAGCCCATAGCCAGTTACTATACTGACTCCTAATCAAACTTATATAAATATTAAGGCTGTGCCATAGCTCAAGCGGTTAGTCGCTGGCTTCCCACTGTGGCAGCCCGGGTTCGATCCCGGGTCTGGTTAAGTGGGAATTGTGGTGGACAAAGTGGCGCTGGGGCAGGTTTTCTCCGAGTACTTCAGTGTCCCCTGCCAATCTTCATTCCACCAATTGCTCCACAGTCACCGTCACCTATAGTCTGGGGCTGGTACAATAGGCCAGAAGTGGCTGCAGTACAAGGGACTTAGTCCCACCCCACTAGCAATAAATAAAAAAAATATATAAATATTAAATAGTCCATATTTGAAACATGCTCTAGGATGGAAACAGCTGCAATATTAATAACTGTACATAAATTTTAAAGAAACTAATTAACTAACTCCAGTGATTGTGCCTTCTCCAGACGGACGTTCCTGCGAATTTCTTTCAGGCGTCGAATCTCATCATTATATGGTGGGAAAAGGGCATAGTCCAGCCAATCACGGTGATCATAACTGTGGGTCAGCCACACACAGTAATATATCAGTTTCATGGCAGGCTGAAAAAAAAATAAATACAGAGCAATGGTAACATAATGTTAGCTGAGCCACTGGGCACTTAACAATGATGTATCAGCCACACAAGCTACCTAGTGTTTAAGTGATATTAATACACAAGCAAGACAGTAAAAATGAAAACCTAACAACGGACTCTTCTGACACTAAGAACATTACTACATTACTCAAATAACTTCTATTAAAAAATTAATTTCTTCAGTTCACCAAAGAACAAAAAAAGTATTATTTGCATGTACAAAAAGTAGCATATTCTGCATCTGAAACATCTCCAAGGGTGCATCACCATCAGATAGTGACATAGATCATTATGTCATTATTAGAAAGTTACTCGATTCTATTTTCAACATATGGCTGGAATCAGCATCACCATACTGAAAATCTTGATAAGACACACAGGGACATTTCATCTGTAAGGTTGCCTACTCAAGGTATAATGTACCCCCAAAAATGTTTCAAATAAATAATAGAAAAGGTTTACTCACTGCACTGAAAATCTCCAATGAAATGTAACTCCACAGTGCGGCATGAAGCACCACGAATGATGATACACTGTCATCAGACATCCGGACATTGAGAGCGGATAACAAGTAACTCTGAAGTACAGTACTCAGGAACACTCCTCCCCTGAAATCAAGTGCCACTATCCAACAACCTAAACAAGTAAAATGTTTTTTCAAATTACACAGGATGAATGATAAGATGATTTATCAATTGCAAAGGATTACGAAGGAAGTGGATGTAGCCTAATCAAGGTACTATCCCAGCATCTGTCTGTAGGGACCACAGAAAACCATGAAAACCATAGTCACAATAGTCAGTATCCTGCCTAAGGTATGAATTGAGTACCTCTTGAAGACAAGCCTACAGCATCACAGCTGTGTTCCAGTTTTCACAGCTGCCTTTTGACATGACATCATGTAGTGACCGTCGTGCATTGCACGATTTTGGAAAGAAAGCCGGCATTTTGGAAAGAAAGCCAAATGGCTACACCCAACAAGGTCATTCTCACCACACAAAGAGTTAAGGAAAAATTTCCAGTTCCCGTAACCATCGCCCCATTCTTACTACTGTAAACAGAGTTATTAGTACTAAATGTACAAAGTAACAAAACTTGCACAGATCTTAGTAATTTGATTTCTTCTTATTATAGGCATATTGATTTAGTACTTATTTTAAGTTAACAGAAGATTTCAAACTCTTTATGTGAATAATTAATTAATAATTCCATCAAGTGTCACCAGTTTAATGTAAGAATATACTATAAATACACTTTTAAGTATCTGTAATCAATTCCACGTTACACAACTTGATTTTTGACCACTTTACACAATTTTAATATATTACTTTTAACAACAACTTGATCTAACTAATGTTAATTTTTAATGGTCAGAATCCCTGTACAGAGACATATGTATACCACACAAACTGGTTACACTTGATGGAATTATTATTCACTTAAATATCAAGCAGTGTGACTGATCGAGATATTTTCAACTAAGATTTCAAGTTCTCTGAAGAATGAATCTATTCTCTATTTATATTTATAAACTAGATTAATTCCTACTTTACATAATTTTGCATGAAGGCATGGGGTGTGGAGATAGAACGACACACTCTGCAGACATTTGCACCATACGAATGTGTGTCCAGCTCAAACACAGAGTAGTGCTTCCAAGATCCATAAATGAAAACATGAAACCATTTCAATCAGAACAACATCTAAATGTCATTAGCTGAACATGTTCACTACGACGACTAAATATGAACTATAAATGAGAACGTGTTCCACAATTCTTCCATCCATGCAGCCTCTACTGTCAACTCAGCCTTCAAGACAGATGCAGCATCAAATGCAAAACTGTAAACACACTGAAGAATGCCGTCTTCTGGGATGTGGCGCCATGTAGATCTTGTGTGAACCGACATTTCGCAGGAATGTATTGCCTCAATCTTCAGGGTAGAAAAATCCACAAGCGAGGAACCAGCATGAGCAAGTGCCTGCAGACTGAGCCACCAGTCGAGAACACTCATACACTGTTTATATATTCATAGTTTCTTTGAAGGTACTGTCAATAGGTGAATCTACAGTGAAACCCCAGCTTATGGTTTCAATGCAACGCCATGGATCTGGAAGGAAAATCTTTAAGGATGATATTTAACACTGAGATCATTTAAATCAAATGTTAAATGAGGAAAACCTTAAATCAGGGAATGTTAAATGGAGGTTTCTCTGTATACAGCTCTGAATGATCTGATGAGAGTGAATAATGAATTGTGAATTATGTTGAAGGAGATCACAGCCTAATTTCAGGCACTATTCTGTCATTTTTCTGGAAGGATTCAGGGAAAAAGAGAGACGCCTGAATCAGAAAAGCTGGTGTCCTAGCCAAGATCCAAACCAGGCACCTCCACCTCCTAAATAGAAGTTGAAAGCACTACCAATTCAGCTTACTTGCTTGGTTATATGGGGTCATGCCCAAGAAGATTGCAATCTAAATTTTCACTGTCACAAAAGCCTCAAATGCTAGAAGAATGTTTCCCCTTGCCACAGAATCCAGGCCAGGGATGTTTCACTGGCGGCAGAGTGGCAGGACTTCACGGCTGACCACTCGCATCAATCAAACACCAAAGTTTGGACAATTTATCTTCATCTTTGCCTAATACACACAATTCTACACTATCCAAACATTAATAAAAGTCATAAAACAAAAATGTTGAATATTAAAGCATCAAATTAATCAGTATATTCATATTTGGTAGTTATAAACATTTCTGAGGAATTTACTGCCTCCATCTTCATTGTGGCTCATTTCTTTCCTGAAGATGGAGACAGTAAATTTCTCTAAAATGTTGGTACCCATCTACCAGATCTCATAACCCTGGAGATCATGATATGCATTGTCACTGCTCTGAATGCCTCAACTCTCAATTGGTATACGAGGGTTCAGCTTTCAGTTCAATCAGTAAAATTACTGTAGAACTATTACTCACCACAGCAAGTAGTGAATCACGAATAAGAGGCATGTAAAATTCCACATGAAACCAGATTTTACAACCTTGCTTTGGTTCAGACTGTAGCATATCCTCATAAACTCAACATTTAATAAATAAATGTGAATTAGAACTACTGCAGACAGCCCTGCTCGTATATATCTGAAATAAAACATACATAATAACAGTAATTTGCATCTGAAACAACTCTGCGTCATCGACAGACAGTGACAAAGACTGTTGCAACTTTATTACGAAGTTACCGATTCTTCTTTCAATATACGGGTATGAAGTGAATCAAAATCGCTGTACCACAAATCTCTTTGCACACACAGGGACTTTTCCTCCATAAGGTTACCTACTCATGATATGTAAGATTTGAGGTTTTTGCAGCGGTGACTATGAAGAATGCTGTATTTTGGGATGTGGCGCCATGTAGATCCTGTGTGAACCAACATTTCAAAGGAACATATCACCTCCATATTCAGGGTAGGAGAATCCGTGAGCTGATTCCTTGCTTGCAGATTTTTCTACCCTGATGATGGAGGGAAATACATTCCTCCGAATTGTCAGTTCACACAGGATCTACATGGCGCCACATCCCAGAAGACAGCATCTTCATAGTCATGATATGTTTAGACAAAACTTAGCACACTGCCAATGTGTTTCCAGCAAACTAAAAAAGTTATAATACAAACAGAAAATTTAGGAAGATTATTGTCTTCAGGCATGTGACAATGTGTGGTCTGATATATCACTACCAGAGTTTCAGGGGACTCTGCTGTCTTCATCTTCAGGGCAGAAGAGAAAATGATAATTCACCACAGTGCACTGCATCACTTTTAGGACAACAATCTTCATAGTCACCAGCAGAACCTCAAATATCACAAGGGAAACTTATGTGTCCATAAAGTTTGTTATGTGACTGAGAGAAATACAAGGGAGAGCCAGTTGGAAATCTGATTTTATCATGCTGCCAGTTACTCCAACTGCATGACAGCGTATGACTGCATGATGACAAATTAGAAACGATGTAGAAAGAGGTACAATCCAAGCATATGCCTCTAGGGAATGAGAAAAATTACAAAAAACTTTCGTCAGGAGAGTTGGTCTCTGGACCAAGATCTGAACGTTGGATTTTCCAAATACAAAGCAGGAGTGCCAACCACAGCATCATGATGTTCAGTTTCACAGTCTTGATACAGTATGACACATACTTAACGTTTACTGGGCAAAAGTTGTATTTTTGTGACACTGAATATATGCAGGCCAAGTGGCTGAGCATCTCCCCCTTTCGGTACTAATACCACTGCCTCCAAGTCAATTCTGGCTGCCAGCCCGAGATTTAAAATCCATATTCTTGAATGACAGAGCTGGGATAGTGCAATCGGTACAGTGACTGGCTATGGGCTCAACTAAAGAGGTAGTCCTGGTAGGGTCAATTCTGCTCCACAGTGTCCAGAACGACCCTGGGGCCCAACCATCCTCCTTTCCAAAGAGAACCCAGAGCTCTTTCCCCAGGGGTTAAGCACCTCGAGTGTGAACCTGACCACTCTCCTCCAACTAGTGATGAGGTCAAGAAAATGTGAATCTAGACATCCACTCCCTCATATGCATTCATGGCATAGTGCTTAATTAGTTAGGCATTGGGAAATGGCCTCCGTAGTCTAGGGGTAACGTTCCCACCTCATGACTCAAGGCACGCAGGTTCAAAAACCTGGCGGAGGTCGTGGAATTTTTAAGGGTGGAAAAATTCAGGGAACAAGTCCTCTGGAGGGACTTTAAGCCGTGGGTCCCATGTTGTAGATTTACGGCATGTAAAAGAACCTCATGTCTCTAAGAGACCGCTGAGCTAAATTAGGCCAAACATTTCCTGCCCAAAGTAGCTTCCAATGCCTCCGGTAGATGGGGAAGTATCAGGTACCACTGCCAGAGGAGGGACGACCTCACTGACAGAAAGGGACTAAGTATTAGATACCACTGCCAAGTAGAGGGTAGAAACCTTGCTGGCAGAAAGGGACTAGGAACCCCTGCCAGAGGAGGGACGACCTCGCTGACAGAAAGGGACTAACTATTAGATACTACTGCCAAGTAGAGGGTAGAAATCTCGCTGGCAGAAAGGGGCTAATAGTGAGCACCAGTACTGGTAGGGGATGGAGACTGCAGAAATTAAAAGGGGGACGTACAATAGACTATCAGTCGCGGCTAAAATTTCTTAAACCACGTAGGTTTGTGTCCGTACTCCTATCGTCCTTCTTGTATGGAGCAGATTTTGTGCCGCCTGTCTATCTTGATGATTCTTGATGTTGTCCAGGGTTTGTTCGTGGGTTGCTGTGTTGTTTTCACTGTAACATCAAGAATCATCAAGATAGACGGCACAAAATCTGCCCCATACAGGAAGGATGATAGGAGTACAGACATGAACCTACGTGGTTTAAAAAATTTTAACTATTGACAATAAAGGTTTTTTAAATAACATCTAGAAACTTTTAAAAACTTTACAACACCAGGAAGCTGCTGCGATTGTGAAATGTTCGGCATTATGCGTACTGTGCATTATAGCATATAAGTGTATGTATTTTAAATCAAAACACCTATTGTGATGGTAGTTTCCAGTTTGTAATGATGTTCCTTCTGAAGATGGCCCATAAGGACCGAAACATGTAAGGGAGGTAAGTTTTAATGTAGTAAAAACTTATATGTCACACTGGATGGAGTAGTTTGTATTTATAAAAAACTTTAATCATGAGGCCATTCAATTTTCTTCATTCCAGGCTCAGTTGATGCCTCATCAGTGATTTGACGTACTTTCAACATCTGTTCTATTTACAAGGTGAGAAATAAAGCTCCAAATCTATATACATCATGCAAACTCAGTAATCCTGCATCATAGTCAGGAGTTCAACCAATCTGAATCTATGCCAGAATGACAAATTCATGATCTACCTCAGTACCTCTAGGCAAATTCCAGGTCAGAACTTAAAACTCACCACGACCCCTAACTGCCACATCTTTCAAGATTCAATATCACATTTCCATTTCTCATTTAAGCTACAATAATCCTTGTACTTTTTGACTCGGAAAATTAATAAAAAATACAGACGTAAACATACCTTAGAGAATAGCATATGTATAAAAATAGAAGGCGAAGTCCTTGGGCAAAAAAATCTTTATCGGTGCCCTTCTGAAAATACGTTAAACAAACACTGTGAACATAATATGCACAAATAATAACGCAACTGAACAGCACATGGGCAGGCACTCCTTCTGCGATAAAAATATTATCAGTAACAATGTTCAATACATCTGTTAATTTGCTTCCGTGAACCGATAATTTTGAAGCACAGAGAGGTACACAGCCAATGCAGAAGCCGGCATTCCACAAAGAGTCCGAAAGGCGCAGTCGATATAATACTGGTAATCTCATTCGCCTCAAAAACACCTAAAAAGAAAGTATACGGGAATGAATACCCTGCATATTAAAATCAAAAGTATCACAAACATCGAAAGTTAAAGCACAAAATGCGACTCACATCAATGACTTTCCCATACATAAAGTGAATTAGGCTCCAAATTATGACAACAGATAAAACCCATGCTGTTGTGGTTGTAGCTGCAAAGCGTACGTTACACTCGCTTGCCAAATTATGAAGTCTAATGAAAAAGAGTGCCTGAGCCTCTTTAAAATAATCATACATAGTTTTTTGGTTATGGTTCACCAGCCACTGATGGTTGAACGAAGATTGGCAGGGAAACTCGAACTACTTCAGGGAAAACGTAACCTAGCGCAACTTTGTATCCACCACAAATCCCACATAACGAGGCCTGGGAACCTAGCGCAGGAATTGTGTAGTTCAGGATAAGGAGCAATGAGTTCTGTGAGAACAATGCAATGAGGGCGCGGGTTCCATGAAATGGTAATTACTTCGGGTATTGAGCAGCTGTTTGCAGGCAGTAAGAACAATGAACTTGGTCCTGATGTATGCAATCAATGTAGAATTCGGTACCTGTAGGAAATAGTGAATTTCATGACCATAAATATACAAGTGAGCGGCTATTAGACGCAGTGGAGATTTCTCTGCGGTCAAGGACAATACAACAGTGCGTAAAATTTCAAATTAAAATTTCCGCTAGTATAATCAAGCCTGTTAGCACATTTTTGCCGAGAGAAAATTAAGAGTTTCGGTCGAAGGCGAAATTTTTACGCCAAGAGAAACGGAGTGCCACTGTTGTACACAGCATGCATAAATAACCCACCCTCCCCTCAAAAAAAAATCGTATATTTCTAGTTGTGTTTGCTGCTGGCATCTATGTGTATGCGACTGAGAGCAAAGAAGGGTATGTTCTCAGAACGTTGCAGCGAGGTCTGGATGCGATTAGGACGCAGTGTGAAGAACGGACGAAGAATCCCCTTCGTGAGTCATGTACATCTGTATATATCTGTATATCTGCGGTCAGGGACCATACAACAGTGCGTACAAGTTCAAATTAAAATTTCCGTTAGTATAATCAAGCCTGTTAGCACATTTTTGCCGAGAGAAAATTCAGAGTTTCGGTCGAAGGCGAAACGTTTACGCCAAGAGAAAAGGAGTGTCACGCATTGTACAGCATATGTACAAATGAACCTCCCCGCCCCCATAAAAATACTGGTATATATTAAATTTTATGTCAAGAGAGTTAGATCGGTTGAATGTCGTCTTATATTAAATGGACGAAGAACCCCCTTTGTGAGTCATGTACAACATCTGTATGTTTTTCGGTAAGAGGATTAGATACAGAAATGATCGAAGCCAATGCCTTCACAACATTTAGTAAAGCATGTCCATTGAAAAGTAAGCGATTTAGCTCTAAGATGAAATGTACCGTCCACAGCATTATTTATGTCTGCAATAAAGCCCGCGCCATATCTCAAGCGGTTATTTGCTGGCTTCCCACCGCAGTGGCTCTGGTCTTGTCAAGTGGGATTTGTGGTGGACAAAGCGGCGATAGGGCAGGATTTCTCTTACTACTTCGGTTTCCCCTGCCAATCTTCATTCTACCGCTCCACAATCACCCTAACCTATCGTCGGGCTGGTACAGTAGGCCAGAAGTGGCCGCAGTACAAGGGACTTAGTCCCACCGCACTAGCATTAAGAAAATTATTTCTGTATTGTCATAGGCTTGCCTACGGATTTGCGGCAAATACCCAATTTTCGAAAGTGCAGAGCTAAAAATCAAGGTTTTCGGCAACAACACCAGTATCCCAAGGGGTATATGCGTATAGATGCAAACGAGGAAGGACAAAATATAGAAAGTAACTGACTGTGACAAGTGAGAAGGGCTAGACCCGTCTTGTCATCAAAAAGGATTCCTATTATAGGCCAAACAGTGAAGCTTACTTCAAGACGAAGATCTGGTCATGAGCGTCTGAATGGGCTCTAAATTAAGAGAGAGTGATTGGCCCACCGTCAGTGGGAAAATAACTTTGAAACATAGCAAGAAGTAATTTTGTAAAGGTAGAAACGAAGCGTAGGATATGTGGAAGAAGAAGACGAATAGTTGTCATAACCGTGGCGGTACTTTGGTAAGGCACTAGCGTATGGTTTAGAAGATACGTGGTTCGAAGTCATGACTATTTTTGTGAAAAAACAAAAAAAAAATTATGAAATTTGTCCATGTAGGAAGCAAGTCGTACTATATGAAGGAGGTGAAAGTAACAAATTTGTATAGATCTGGTGGTACGTGGGTGAGACATTTGCGTAGTATTGGGAAGGTGCGGGGTTCGAGACCGCGGTGTCTTTTGTCAATAGAAATTGGAAAGTGAATAAACAAATACGATTTTTTTGCAGCTATAAACCAAGTCGTAGAATATGAGGAGGATCGCAGAAAGCTATAGCATAGGTCTTCTGGAGGTCGAGAGGTAAGTCACCGGCGTTCTAAAGACAAGGTTCTTGGTTCGAAAACCCAAGTATTTTTGCAATGAGATTTTTCTGGAATTATATCGCGAGATGTAACATAAGAGGAAGATTAAAGCTCAAAAATTTATGTGGCATTGGTGTCCTAGTGGTAAAATACCGGCATAGTGAACAAGAGTTCGAAGGGTTGAGACCAAGTATAGTTTTGCGATTTAGAAAGTAAGTTAATTGATTTTTCTGGAATTATAGTCGAAGATGTAGCTTAAGAGGAAGATAAAAGAAAATAAATTTCAGTGGTGCTGGTGGCTTAGGTGTAAGACATCAGCTTAGTGTTCAGAAGCTCCCTGGTTCAAAACCAGTAGGATTTTTGTGAAAAATAAAATGGAAAGAAGTTAGGAGATAGGGTAAAGGAGGAGGGAGAGATAAAGGGAGGGACCGGGGTGAGGGAAGATTTTTTTTTTGCGGCCGCTCATTAAGACACTCAACCTAAGCGGGTCTTATTAAAATCCACAAGGGATCAAAAAGAAAAAAATTTCGGCCCACCATCCGCCCACCAACCACCCGCCCTTAGGGGGTGACTTTGACTTATTCATTTGAGACCAAGTTCTATGAGCGAGATTTAGTAAGAAAATGTAATATAACTGCAGCGCATTCTGTGGGCTTAAACCTCATGGAAAGCCACGAAGTGTAGTTAAATATAGCATCTTAGTATCTTATTGGGCTGTGCAAACCGCTCCTCTGAAGAATTCATTTTATAGGGTAGGGCAGGAGGTACTGAGGATGGAAGCGTGGGACCCCACCCTCAACCACCCTCATAATCACGCAGAAAGTTAATCGCTTGAGACCATGGTAACTGAGCGAGAGTTAACAAGAAAGTATTTTAAACTCTAGCGCCATCTGTTGAACATTACAACAACACCTGTTCAACAGATGGCGCTGGAGGTTTATTTCATATTTCTTAACACTCGATGATTTAGCTTGGTCTCAAGTTATTAACTTTCTGCGTGACCCCAAGATCGGTCGTGGGTACGGTCCCACGCTTCGCTATCTGTGGAGTAATGTTCAACAGATAGCGCTTTTTATTATTTCATATGAATATGAATACGAATACGAATACTATGGAAGCGGTCCCAGGCTTGGTCATCCGTGGAGTAATGTTCAACAGATGGCGCTACTTTTTTTATTTCATATGAATATGAATACGAATACGAATACTATGGAAGCGGTCCCAGGCTTGGTCATCCGTGGAGTAATGTTCAACAGATGGCGCTACTTTTTTTATTTCATATGAATATGAATACGAATACGAATACTATGGAAGCGGTCCCAGGCTTGGTCATCCGTGGAGTAATGTTCAACAGATGGCGCTACTTTTTTTATTTCATATGAATATGAATACTATGGAAGCGCGAGACTCCACCCTCACCCCTCTTGGGGTCACGCAGAAAGTTAATAACTTGAGATCAAGCTAAATCAGCGAGAGTTAATGAGTAGATATAAAATAACTGTAGCGCCATCTGTGGACTTAAACCTCATGGAAACCCACGAAGGGTACTTAAAAATGTAGCATCTTAGCATCCTATTGGGCTGTGCTAACCGCTCCTCTGAAGAAAGTAAATCATTTGTGGAGTAATGTTCAACAGATGGCGCTCCTATTTTAAATATTTTCTTGGTAACTTTCACTGATGGGTGAGGGTGGAGTCCCGCGCTTCCATAGTATTCATATGCATATGAAATAAAAAAGTAGCGCCATCTGTTGAACATTACTCCACGGATGACCAAGCCTGGGACCGCTTCCCGAGTATTCGTATTCATATTCATATGAAATAATAAAAAGCGCTATCTGTTGAACATTACTCCACAGATAGCGAAGCGTGGGACCGTACCCACGACCGATCTTGGGGTCACGCAGAAAGTTAATAACTTGAGACCAAGCTAAATCATCGAGTGTTAAGAAATATGAAATAAACCTCCAGCGCCATCTGTTGAACAGGTGTTGTTGTAATGTTCAACAGATGGCGCTAGAGTTTAAAATACTTTCTTGTTAACTCTCGCTCAGTTACCATGGTCTCAAGCGATTAACTTTCTGCGTGATTATGAGGGTGGTTGAGGGTGGGGTCCCACGCTTCCATCCTCAGTACCTCCTGCCCTACCCTATAAAATGAATTCTTCAGAGGAGCGGTTTGCACAGCCCAATAAGATACTAAGATGCTATATTTAACTACACTTCGTGGCTTTCCATGAGGTTTAAGCCCACAGAATGCGCTGCAGTTATATTACATTTTCTTACTAAATCTCGCTCATAGAACTTGGTCTCAAATGAATAAGTCAAAGTCACCCCCTAAGGGCGGGTGGTTGGTGGGCGGATGGTGGGCCGAAATTTTTTTCTTTTTGATCCCTTGTGGATTTTAATAAGACCCGCTTAGGTTGAGTGTCTTAATGAGCGGCCGCAAAAAAAAAATCTTCCCTCACCCCGGTCCCTCCCTTTATCTCTCCCTCCTCCTTTACCCTATCTCCTAACTTCTTTCCATTTTATTTTTCACAAAAATCCTACTGGTTTTGAACCAGGGAGCTTCTGAACACTAAGCTGATGTCTTACACCTAAGCCACCAGCACCACTGAAATTTATTTTCTTTTATCTTCCTCTTAAGCTACATCTTCGACTATAATTCCAGAAAAATCAATTAACTTACTTTCTAAATCGCAAAACTATACTTGGTCTCAACCCTTCGAACTCTTGTTCACTATGCCGGTATTTTACCACTAGGACACCAATGCCACATAAATTTTTGAGCTTTAATCTTCCTCTTATGTTACATCTCGCGATATAATTCCAGAAAAATCTCATTGCAAAAATACTTGGGTTTTCGAACCAAGAACCTTGTCTTTAGAACGCCGGTGACTTACCTCTCGACCTCCAGAAGACCTATGCTATAGCTTTCTGCGATCCTCCTCATATTCTACGACTTGGTTTATAGCTGCAGAAAAATCGTATTTGTTTATTCAC